TGTATTGAATCAATATTGTTTTAATTGTGAAGGTGGTGAGGTAGTGGCCCAGGTTGCCCAGAGAAGCTGTGGATGCCCCATCCCTGGAGGTGTTCAAGGCCAGGCTGGATGAGGCTTTGAGCAACCTGGGCTGGTGGGAGGTGTCCCTGCCCATGGCAGGGGGTTGGAACTAGATGGTCTTCAAGGTCTCTTCCAACTCAAACCACTCTATGATTCTGTGAATATAACAGTTCCTATGAATTACATAAAGCTATTTTTAGTTTGGATGAAAAATGCAGAGTTGACTATTTCCACACTAATGTCATTCTCACTCAGTCATCCTCATTTGTTCACTGTTCCTCATTGTAAACCCCTATTTTATCACAAAATACTCTCAATAGCTCTTTTGACTCCTAAAACACCACCTCCTCTACTCCTTTGCTTTTTTGAATGCTGAAAAAAGCATCTGCCCACCCACAACATTTGACACAGTATCCTAATTTAGTCTGGCTGATGATCTCCAACCGTTTAGTATTGCCCACTCCTCATCTACTGTACGCACTGCCTTTTTGTGCTGTCCAATACATCATGGTCAGATTTCTTTGAAGCTTTCTGGGTCCTCTATCCTTTTATTTCTATTTTAATTGTCAAATTTTACCATCTCCACACTGAATTTCCATACCTCTTACGTTAATTTTTCCATTGTATAATGTCTTTCTTTCTGTTCTTAAGAGTTAAGACAGCTAGAGGGAACACAGAGATAAAGCTTTACCCTCTTGAGTCTGTAATTTCTTCTCTGCTGCTGCCCTTTCTTACTTCTACAGCTTCATACTTATATATAATTTCTCCTTATTAAAGGCCAATAACTAAACACCAAGCACATTTCAATAGGATTCTTTTTAAGTCCACTGTTTATGGATCAGTATCCACTATGCTATCAACTGTATCAGAAAAGTAGTATCTAAACCATCAAGAAATCTATTGCTGCAGTGAATGAAAACACAAACACCATCAGTACTGCATTCCTGGAAGTCATTTCAGAGCGTTCTAGAGGCAATCTACAACTCCTGCTCAGAAATTTCTTTTTGGAGACTTGGTAGGCACATTATCTTTTAACTGTCATGAATTCCCTGTTTCAGGATGTCCGCTCAACGTCACGTGGTTACTCTGCATGGAATTAATGGATTGGAACAACAGGTAGTAACCAGACACTTGGGACCACAGAAAACTTTAGCCAAAAAAAAAAAAAAAAAACAAACAAATCTTCGACTCCGTTACCATCAGTTTGAAGACTATTTCCTATTTTTAAACAGAATTGCTCCCACTTACAGTGATCCTTAACTTTCTAACACTACTTTCACTCAAGAAGAAACTCAAATGGAGTTATCTAGTATTCACCTGAAATGTTATATTATAGCTAAAAAAAAAGAAAAAAAAGAATTAAATTATCAGAGCCAAAGGAAGGTCATAATTTCACGTATGGTCTAAGCAAGCACTGCTGCTAGAGGAATCCAAACTATTCTTCCCCTTCTCCTTCTCTACTCGTTTCTAGGACTACATTTTCCTTGTGAATGCTTCTGTTGGAAAGCAATTTTCGCCAATCCTTAAGCTCACATATGCAGACAGCCATTTCATCCTTCCCTGGAATGAGACTACAATAAAAATGCTCTGTGCAGCTTTGTCTTTTTTTAATAATACAAACCACCACTTTGTACGAGTTCTCAATATTCTGAATGCTCCAAAAAGGAGAAAGATTAGTCCAACCAATTGTGCTCTGCATCTTGTTACAAGGTTCTACTCAAAATTAAATATTAACAGTGTACTTTTCTGCTTATTAATAAAAATTGATACTTAAATCCATTTTATCTGAAACCTTTCCAGAAAGTGTAAGAATTTCCTCATTATATATTTCAATATTTTAAAATTATATTCTGAATTTAATAGAAAACTTCTTACCAAGGCGTATACTTTACATTCTAGGATTTGACAAGAAAACATTAATATTAATT